CTTTTTATTAATGTCATTATATTATCTGACATCAACTAACCACAACGAACTTGCAAACGTTGGAAAGAGGTTTTTGCTGGAATTCAGTTTAAAAACAGTAATTCATAGAAGTAGCGCCCTCAACTTAACCTTGAAAGTTTTGAGTGCAAAATAAAACTTGAGCTTTGCGGTGTTGCATTGTAGGGTATATGATTTTGATTTTTATTCCTCAGTACTTTATTATTAATATTAGATACTCCACTAGGCCTCTTTTTGCCTACGCTAGTTTAATAATTTATCAAATGTTATTAATAATAATGATTAATGAAATAATAGTTTGTCCAAAGGCTTATTTATATAATATATATACTAAGCCTGAAGGTGGCGCTTTCCTACGACGGCCATCTTGTTGAGTACATATACACTCTAGTTGTTTAATAGCTGTATGATGCCCCACGATGAGTGTACTATATATGATCATGATGTCATGATGTCATGATGTCATGATGTCATGATGTTATGATATCATGATGTCATGATGTTATGTCATTTAAAAGCATATAATGTTTTAGTCACTTAAAATTTGACAGTCTGTGTCCAATAAAATTACATCTTTAAAGTTAGTCTGAGAGTGCTGCCTCTTCATTACTTTAAGAATTATAATTGTTAAGAATAACACGGCTACCACTACTGTACATCTATCTGGACAAGGCCGTAATAGCTGTTGATCTTTGCAGTATATATTAGCTAAATACTGCATCCAATACTTCAAACGGTTAACAAAAATCTAAAAAAATTTAAACAATACACAATTTGTTTGTTTATATGCCTTGATCTTTTACATGGACATGTACAATGGAAACTCCAAGATGGTTTGTTGATAGATGCAATTAATTAACATACAAACAAATTCTACTTTTAAAAAGAACAAGAAATAAAATACCTTGCCCCTCTTGAGTTTCTTCACTAGCATGGCATCTTTGGTAAGTTCAGCCAAGTCCTCTTCATCAAACTAATTAAAAATAGCAATACAGGTTAACGATCTTAAATTCACAATAAAATAACATATGTACAATAAAAATACAAATAAAATACCACTAAACAGCCCTAATCACTTGAGTATGTTTTCTACAACATTGTACAAGTATATTTTTATATAGTTATATGAATAATGAATGAAGAATTCAATTGATTCAGTCAGTTGAGAGATCTTACTTGTTGCTGTTTTCTTTTCTTTGACAACTCTTTCCGCTGTCTTCTGTCCTGTCGCTTGTTTTTCTTTTCTTTGTTCTGAGACCAGGCTGTTTGTTTTCTCTGAAAATAACAAAGTTAGTATGAGCACTAATTTAAAATGTTTATCAGCAGGTTTGTAATCTCAGATCTTGTTGTGCATGTATGTTGTATGTTTATATATTTCATACCCATTAGACTATCTTTTGTTATCCAATCTGTTATACAGTTACAGTAAAACCAATTATGAATTATTATTACTTGCTGTTAATATGCATGGTATGTGTGTGTACAGCTGTCTATCTATGAATATCATAAAAATTGTCAAATTGTCTTACTTTAAACTGTTTCTGCTTTCCTTTTTGTTTTCCCTCTTCCTGTAGCTTCAGTTTCTCCTGACGGTGTTTTTCTCTTGATTTTTCCCTGATATATCCAGATATTGAAAATTCATAATCTGTAGTTTTCAATTCAATTCAATTTCAATTCAACAAACATTTATTTCATCCAAAAGCCAAAAATGTACAATATAAAACAGGGCTTCGATGAGGACTAGCCTAGAAGTAAACTTGTCTCAGCTAGTCCTGAGACTGGATTTACAATAACAAAGAATGACAATAAGAAGCACAAGTAGAACCACAGTAAAACTTAAATGACTTAATGACTATATATATTTGGACGTAAAGTGTATCTTTAGTTCACTCTTAAATTTATTATTATTTTTAATTTCTGTTATATTACTGGGAAGAAAAAACCGAAAGGTCCACTGATTAATCTCAGATAAGAAAGTATAATACATACTCCAAGTATTGAAATACACGCCATCGTCTTGGGTTTCAATATTTCAACATTAATTATGTCATCATCATGATGACATAATTAATGTTGAAATATTGAATCCCAACACGATGGCGTGTATTTCAATACTTGGAGTATGTATTATACTTTCTTACTGGGAAGCTTATTCCAGTATATTTAATGTCTAATATCTAATTATTATATATTCGTATTGTTGAGAAAATTAATGTCAGCTTCAGCTTTGCTTAATTGTTTGTGAAGTTT